AGATAGTCTCATATCGTATAGGCAAGGGGGCCAGTTGCCCGAGGAAAGCATACTTACCTGGCGTAGGGGCTACCGTGATCAATAAGGCGGTTCCCCCAGGACGAGGCCCTTCCATTGCACTTCGGTCGGGCTGACCCCTGCGATTACCCCTAATGCGGGTAACTCGGGCGCGTAATTTTTGNATGGGAATGGAAAGCATACTTACCTGGCGTAGGGGCTACCGTGATCAATAAGGCGGTTCCCCCAGGACGAGGCCCTTCCATTGCACTTCGGTCGGGCTGACCCCTGCGATTACCCCTAATGCGGGTAACTCGGGCGCGTAATTTTTGGTAGTCGGGTCTGCGTACGCGCTAACCCGGATTATATTAATAAAAACATAAGTTATCATCGTCAAATAATCTGCCCAATATATCACTCATCCAATCGCATGACGTCATCACTCATCGGCACGCTCTCATAACTCAGAAAACATGTAAGGAGCCGACAGCAATAAGGATATTAGACTTTCTGATGGTGCAATAATGAACCATTTTATTTACCAAGGGGTCTCAAAATCAGAAAAAAATTAAAGTTAACTATAAATATTGAGCTGTATACATAACGATTTTCTTTTTATATGTGTCGATACATTATCCGGGACTGAAAATGATGAACAAATTAAATTCGATGATGAATGCGATGATTCAGACCAAACACTTATCTTAACCACAGAATAACTGTTATCTTGTGTCTTAACTATATCATCCCTCCATCGTAGAATGAAAATTATTCTACAATTTTATTGTCTTCACTCCTCTGTCTCCATGCATCCTATCCAGATGTCTCAACCATATCATTCTCTATGCTTTTATGTGTCGTAATATGTCTGTATCACAGAATAACCAGAAATGACACCGACATCGTTTCGTTTGATGAGTTGGATAACCTTATAACCAATACTCAACGGACCTTGGTATTGCACCTTGCTTCCTCGTAACAATATGGCATCAGATTTGGTGGGATACCGCCAGTGTTACTTCTGGTTATTCTGTTGTCTACAGCATCGACGAGCTGGTCCAATTTGTGGTTCATTCTTGATCACAATAAAATACTAGACTTGATAGAATTCTACATCGTCAAAAACATCTGCGCAAAGTTCCTGCTAGTAAAAGAGAGGTGGGAGCAAAACTAATCCTACGTTGATCAATACGGGCTGACATTTGACAAAATATGACATAAAAGATTGATACACAAACTTAATTCTTATAGAAATACAAACGATTCATAGAAATATTACTATACTTCTGATTGAAACAAGAAAAAGCTATTATACATTCTTCTGAGTTAAAAGAAATCAAGGTCCCATAGTTGTTGTGCACCTGTGATATTTCTCAATTAGAAAATAATTCAATATCATACGATGTCAACTATCATGTCGTTTGACATGGCCTGATATTGGCAGTTTGAAACAATAATGAGGAATCAACCGGAAAATTACAAGTTACTATTTTAAGAATACAGAGATAGACAAAGATATGAGACATAAAGCTAAATGAAAGTAAGTTCGTACATCTTCATTTTACAAACAAAAAATAGACCTAATACCAGTAAGTCAACGAATACTCTATTCCAATCAAGCCAAGTATCTGGGCATGACTTTAGACATAAAGCTCCGATAGAAGAATAAAAATTGCCGTGACAAATAATTAGACCACTCTAGATTTACGAGCAAAAACAAGATTGTTCGATGATTCCAAAATAAAGTATTAAGAAGTAGGTGGCTCCAGAAAGAGTGATCTAAATCGAGAATTTGAAGTGAATAAACCGTGGATGAAATTATTACAAGTTCTGCTAGTAAAAGCGAGTAAAAGAGAGACTGCACCATTGTGTGGACATTGAGGCTATTGAGCTCTTTGATAACTCACAGCTATCAGAACACTCAAAATACTTAAACCTTTTGAGTTAGTTTCGTTGTCAACCTCGCGTATATTGCTGTTAGGTTGATAGATAACTTTTTGTGAGTTCTTTAGTCGTTTTATAAATTTTTCCATTTCTTTGTTTGCTATTATGTTCAATAATTTCTTTTATGTTCTATTTTAGGCTTTCTCATTTTTTTCTACGGCAGATTCTGTTGGGTTGGGTTGCCTGTTTCTTCTTGCAGGATTCATTCTTTCCATTGTCTTTCTACAGTCATCATCATATCATTTATTTCGTGATTTTTTTTTGGTGACTTATAGTGTGTTAAGCAACAGAATCTGTGGTGCGTCTTAATGTCCTCCATTCTTCTTCTATTTCATCTTCTTGTCTCTTTGCCTAAATTCTTTCGTTTTGTCATGATCAATGCTCTTACATTCAATTTTTTGTTGTTTTCAAAATTTCTTTTATTTGTTGTAGAGGTCTTGTATGTAAATTTTACCTTCAGCAGGAAGTGGTTAACAGGAGTCATAGTTGACACCTTGGCAGGTTCTCACATCGTTTATTGAAGAAGTCCATCTCTTAGATGTATGTAGGAAAAGGGAGGGTATGCTTCGACATACAGCACCTAGGCCTCAACGGGCCCCTTGTACATGCTCCTGCACTCTCTCTGGCTACATCAACCAGCCTAAGGAATTTCCGAAGGCTAGGATACAGCTCAGAGGTGTGTTCCTGATGCCATCCGTGCTCGGCCATTCCTCTCCGAAGTCTCTCATTCTGTAAGGTCTTGCAGAATGGGGCAGTCACACAAGATGTGTCGAACCATCTTCTCGCTGCCTTCACAAAAGTGACAGAGAGGACTAACAGCAAGTTTAAGGTTATAAAGATGTTTGTTTACCTTACAGTGACCCTTGACGAGTACCGTTACAGTTCGTAGAGCGTTTCTACCAAGCTTTGCGAAAGACAAGGCTGCTTCTGCCGAGGAATAACGTAATACTTCCTTAGACAGATGGCAGCCCTTAACCCTGTCCCATCAGTTCATAAACTTTTTGTGGGTAAAATCTTTAATTATCTCAATATGATGATAAGGACAGGGCGATTATCGGTTCAGATGACAATGTCAGATGACAACCCATAATAAGTCCTGAGGTAATTGTTATTCTACTATGGGCTAAAATAGCTTGTCTACTATCAGTGTAAATTGTGAAAGTCTTACCTTCCAAGTTGGATCTGACAATAACGTCAGCGGCAAGTTGTATGGCGATTAACTCCGCCTGTATGACGGTGGTACTTTTACCTAGAGGTTCAGATACGTGGAGTCTTCTTCCCGTCTAATTGAACCGTCAGTGTAGATTTTAAGGCTGCTTTTTACCTCTACTTCTGTGGAACTTGGGTGGGTGAGATATTTCTTCGTAAAAATGTGTTGTGTGGGTGTGAAGTCCGTTTTACATTCCAGAATTGGTGAGTAATCAACCATTTTCTTCCAGAGAATGGCATTTTTACTATCTCTCTCACCCATTAGAATTTCTGCTGCCCGCAGTCGAATCATGGTCACCAGTGCCACCTCTTGAATGAACAAATGAAGTGGCGTAAGGTTCAACATGTTTTCCATGGCTGCAGTCTCTGTACATTATTAAGTGCAGCAGTGGATGTAGACTGTAAGGTCTTTAACCACCATACTACTGCACCATATGTAAGCATAAGTCGGATTACAGCCGTATAAATCCAGAGGGTATTTTTGGGTGACGAACACCATGTTTTATTTATAGCCCTCCGGCATTGGCGGAATGTCATTTTATTGTCAAGTGTGATGCTCTGATATTTGACTTCTTTTGACAAAATCAATGGAGTATTAGCAAGGAATGGTATTCTGGGCTTGCCAATCTTCCTCATCCGTGTGAAAAGAATCAACTCGGTCTTCTTAGGATTCACAGAGAGTCTTTGTTCGTCACACCAAGACTCTATCCATTTGAGAGCTACTTGCATCCTATCAAAGGATATTAGATATTAAGACATGGTCAATTTGGTTACATCCATCCGTACTCGGGATCCTTGGTATTGTTTCATAAACAGTTTGGAGGTCTTTACTGAACTGCTGCACTATTGCCTCTTCGATTAGATCCATATCATATTTGCTCAGTCTCTTTGCCACATTTTGCATCTTATCTGTCTTCAATTGTGTCCTTCCATTTCATGGTCCTAATTGAAATGTTGTTCTCTTAGCATGTATCATCTTCTAGTAGTCATTCTGTGTAGCTTTCGTAATGACTAGATTACTATGTTGTGGTGGCCCAGTTTTAAGGCAGTTTTTAAGAAACTCCCTCATCCACGTCAAGGTTTCACAGCTCCTAGGGGATTTTTATATAGACTTTATATCTTTTGCAATATAGATAATAAGCTATTCATATTTAGAACATTGAATGATTCTAGTAGTTTCAATAGATGGCGTTATGCCAGACTAATAATTTTTGAATCATTTTTAAAAACAAATAAGAATCTAAACTATCAGAAGTAATTCTGTTTGTTTTTGATAAAATATTCAAAATGAAAAACCGTTTTAATTTCTTGTTTAATTAGGGATCTATAAATAAGTAAACATAACAACTTTAGATGGCGCTGAAAATCTGATCCTAATTTTAAAAAAGGATTCGGTTTTTATTTTAAGCATTTGAAAATTTCTTTTTTGATAAAGTTTCTTTATGTCTAAGAAATTATTTTCTTAAATATTGATTCTTTTATAGTGAACCGCAAAAACCGATCAATTTAGATTACGAACCACTTAATCATCATCAATCAATTTCAAAATAAATCAATTTATCCCTTTCAGCTAACCTTTAAAATCGAACGAATTAAATTTAAGATGTGATTATAGAAATCTTCCAATTTGAATTAAAAGTATTTCCCAAGGAAGATCTCTTTCGGCGATTTCCTCTTTGGATTCCTACTCTACACCCAGCTTTCCAACAAACGTTTTCCCCTTACAACTACGTTTCCCCTACACACCACGTCCCGTTTCTGTTCTCTCAAAATCAATGAGCAGCATGCGCGAGGAGATCCTGGGCCACGACCGGGAACCCTTTTTGGATGGTGGGGGAGGGAACGCCGGTGGTCCATGGCTGGATTCTGCCTGGACAGTCCACGCCTAAGGGTGTCCGGAGGCGCGCCTGCCGAGATCACACGAGTTATCTGCTCGCCACCCCTCTTTTTCGGCTCAACCCGTCTGTAAGCTCAGGACAAGACTTGACAACTTTTTCTCGGTATTTGAGTTGGTTGAGTAGTGATGCTGTGTGCTAGTGATCATCCGGATCGCCCCGAAAAAAAGGGGGACCTTCGGTGGCCGACCAAGGATGCTAGCAGCTGAGGTAAGTTAAACATTTTTTTTAAACAATTTTCTCTCAGAGAAAATGAGATTAAGAAATTTTTTTTAAGTAGGGTGGTTTTAATGTGAAAATCGCGCCGGAAGCGCCTTGTTTACCCACCATTTTTCTCCTTGATTCTTCGACCTACATGCGAATAGAACGTTGTTTTTATCCCAAGTTTTTAATAAGTTAATTGTTTGAAACGATTTTGTTATAATCTTTTTTCGTGGGGTGGTTTTGTTGATGGTTTGGTACCCGCCATTTTTATTTATTATTCGTTGAGATGTTGTGGGGGAATGTAGGTTATGTTTTTATATTTTATGGATCTTACAGAGAGAGCTTTTCAAAGCTCTCTTTAAGTTATAACCTGAGCAACGGGGTTATTATGTGTCATTTTTTATTCAGTGGGAATAAGAAATAAGGTAGTAATCTTTATGAATATTATAAAAATATTAAAAGATATCCAAGGTGGGCTTTTAAAAATGTATCTAAAGAATTAGTCTAAGACGGTGAAGACAAAATCTACTTAGTAATTATTTGATTTATTGCAAAAGTAATCAACTAGTACTGCAGTAAGTAGCCTAGAGTGTAGTATAGAGGTGTGGCTAAATTCAAAATGTAGCAAAGTAAGTTGGCAACTACTAAGTTTAGTAATGGGTAACTTTTTGTTACGTTTTGCAACTGCTAAAAATTGGCAGATGTTGTTCCTTTTTTTGATGATGCAACTTGCATGAATTAACTCAAAACAATAAAGCTGCTATCAATTGTGTGAAAAGAATTACAAAGACGACGCTTATGAATTTAATGCACAATCAGTAGTTTAGTAAACTTAGAAGTAAGGAATTGTTAGACATAAGTCGAAGTCATTGAAGTCATCGATGGAAAAAGGGAAAAAAGTGAATTAAACCATGATAAATAATAGAATCTAAATTGTCAGTAAGTCCAAAAAGAAGAGAAAAGCTAAGCCAGTAATGTTGAAGATTCCAGAAAGAAAAGAAAGTCTAAACAAAGCTGGGACGAAACTAGAAAGAAAGCTAAAAACGCGGAGTAAACCAAAAACAAGGCAGAAAGATAAGACATAATCTATCATTTGACAAAAACGCTGTTAAGAAGAAAAAAACGATTCTGAGAAAAAATTAAATGAACCCACCTAGAATCAATTTTCTTGCATTTTTCTGTAAAGATACTGTAAAGAAGAAGTCTAGTATCACGCTGTGCAAATTAAAAATTTCAGACTCTAAGAAGCAATCTGGTAGCACGCTGTGCTGAAATATTAAGCAGAGATATGGTAATACATGGTACAGACACTAAGATATCTGGTATCACCGTATGCTGATCATAGATTCTATATTTCAAAGAGAGATTTGGTATTACATTGTGCAACTCACTGGTTCTCTACACCAACAAATCTGATATTATAATGTGCTAATCACAGATTTTAGACTCCAAGAGTAATTCTGGAATCACGGTGTGGTGTTTACATATTGCAGATTTTCAACAAAGACATCTCGTATTGCATTTTGCAGCTCACAGGTTCCAGACATCAAGAAGCACTCTGATATTACTCTGTGGTTTGGTACCCGACATTTTTATTAATTATTCGTTGAGATATTGTGGGGAAATGTAGGTTATGTTTTTATATTTTATGAATCTTACAGAGAGCGTTTTTCCAAGCTCTCTTTAAGTTATAACCTGAGCAACGAGGTTATTATGTGTCATTTTTTATTCAGTGGGAATAAGAAATAAGGTGGTGTGCAAAGAATCTTTATGAATATTATAAAAATATTAAAAGATTTTTAAGGTGGCTTTTTGAAAATGTATCTAAAGAATTAGTCTAGCACGGTGAAGACAAAATTTACTTAGTAATTATTTGATTTGCTTCAAGAGTAATCAACTAGTACTGCAGTAAGTAACATAGAGTGTAGTATACAGATGTAGCTTAAAATCAAAATGTAACAAAGTAATTTTAGTAATGGGTAACTTTTTGTTACGTTTTGCAGCTGCTAAAAATTGGCAGATGTTGCTCCTTTTTTTGATGATACAACTTGCATGAATCCCCTTTTAACTCAAAACAATAAAACTGCCATCAATGGTGCGAAAAGAATTACAAAGACGACGCTGGTTATGGATTCTGTTTATTTTATGACTATCTTATGAATATAATACACAATCAGTAGTTTAGTAACCTTAGAAGTAAGGAATTGTTAGACATAAGTCGAAGTCATTGAAGTCATCGGCGGAAAAAAAGTGAATTAAACCATGATAGATAATAGAATCTAAATTGTTAGCCAATCCAGAAAGAAGAGAAAAGCTAAGCCAGTAATGTTGAAGATTCCAGAAAGAAAAGAAAGTCTAAACAAAGCTGGGGCGAAACTAGAAAGAAAGCTAAAAACGCGGAGTAAACCAAAAACAAGGCAGAAAGATAAGACATAATCTATCATTTGACAAAAACGCTACAAAGAAGAAAAAAACGATTTTAAGATAAAATTAAATGAAGCCACCTAGAATCAACTTTCTCGCATTTTTCTGTAAAGATACTGTAAAGAAGAAGTCTAGTATCACTCTGTGCAAATTAAAGAGTTCATGCTCTAAGAAACAATCTGGTAGTACGCTGTGCTGAAATATTAAGCAAAAAGGTATTAAGCAGAGATCTGGTAATACATTGTCCAGACACCAAGATATCTGGTATCACCGTATGCTGATCATAGATTCTAGATTTCAAGGTGAAATTTGGTATTGCATTGTGTAACTCAATGACAACCATTACCACACTGTGCAGATCATAATTGTATCAATCGTACTTCAAGAAGAAATCTCGCTTAACGTTGTGTTGATCGTACGTCTCAGACTTCAAGAAGAAGTTTTATGTTACATTGTACAAGGTACAGAGTTCAAATACCTAGAAGATATCACATATTGCATATTACAGATTTCATACTTCAAGAAAAGATATGGTATCACACTGTGCTGATCACAGATTTCTGATTCTAAGAAAAAAAACCTGGTATTTTGAACAGACTGCAAATTCTAGATTGAAAATGTCGTCTAATATCACATTGTTGAGATTACAAATTCAATATGCAAATTATAGATTCCAGGCTTCAACAAGAAGTCTGCCAATACGTTATGCACATCACTGGTTGTAGACATCAAGAAAAAATCTGGTATTATACTATGCAAATTTCAGCATATGTATAAGTAAAATAATTTTCTTATGACACTGGTGAGGAGATCAGAAATTTCTAACTTAGAAATGAATTCTATATTCACAATGTACATATTACAAATTTTAGACTCCAAGAAGAAGTCTTGCGTAAGAGAAAAAAGAACCACGACTCGATTAAGTCGCAAAAATTTACTGTAACAGAACTTGCTATTCATGATAACCATGGAAATAGATCAAGAGGAGAGTTGACTTGAATTCATTCTGTCAGAGGAAAATATTGGTTTTCCAGCTTCAACTTTCTTTCTCGCTTGTACTAATGAGGTCGTTGAGGCAATGATATGAATTCGGCATTCTGCCATCTTATTGGTAGTTATCTTGATCACACTCTATAAACTTGGCCTATTTCCAATTCGCACCAAGTTAAAGTTAGTATTACGTTGGAAAATAAAGGAACATAGAACGATGTTGGGAAATATCCAGAATGATTTTGAAGGCTGTAAGGGCTTTGTTGGAAAAAATCAGGGATTTAAGATTGCGTATTTACTGGCCATCCAATATTACTGTCGAAAATTAGACACAGAATTTATTATAAAGCTTTCTATCATATATATGATTACAGGTTGTTGGAATTTTGATTGTACTCTGGCATTAAAACAGCTTTATTCTGGCGGATTACCCAGAGAGCCAAAATAAGCAGGGAACATCAGATATCTAGGATGCAGAAAATTTAAATGGTTCAGTTATATATCATAATGTTTCAATTGGTAGTGATGATCTTAGAAGAATCATTTCTTGCAAGAAATAGTTTCTTATCTGAGCAACACATCCTTATGGAAGAAGCTGAATATGTTGAAATGTAGGGATACTGTAATGTGGTAGAATAAGCATAATTATGCCATATAAGAACGCAGATTTGATGTTACTTTAATGCATCGTTTTGGAAATAGCCAATGAATACCCATTAAGCCATGTGTATCTTGGCGTATAACTTGACTTCATCTATCATAGTTTAAAAGATCTGTCCCCTTTTTTGAGANTTGCGTAAGAGAAAAAAGAACCACGACTCGATTAAGTCGCAAAAATTTACTGTAACAGAACTTGCTATTCATGATAACCATGGAAATAGATCAAGAGGAGAGTTGACTTGAATTCATTCTGTCAGAGGAAAATATTGGTTTTCCAGCTTCAACTTTCTTTCTCGCTTGTACTAATGAGGTCGTTGAGGCAATGATATGAATTCGGCATTCTGCCATCTTATTGGTAGTTATCTTGATCACACTCCATAAACTTGGCCTATTTCCAATTCGCACCAAGTTAAAGTTAGTATTACGTTGGAAAATAAAGGAACATAGAACGATGTTGGGAAATATCCAGAATGATTTTGAAGGCTGTAAGGGCTTTGTTGGAAAAAATCAGGGATTTAAGATTGCGTATTTACTGGCCATCCAATATTACTGTCGAAAATTAGACACAGAATTTATTATAAAGCTTTCTATCATATATATGATTACAGGTTGTTGGAATTTTGATTGTACTCTGGCATTAAAACAGCTTTATTCTGGCGGATTACCCAGAGAGCCAAAATAAGCAGGGAACATCGGATATCTAGGATGCAGAAAATTTAAATGGTTCAGTTATATATCATAATGTTTCAATTGGTAGTGATAATCTTAGAAGAATCATTTCCTCCAAGAAATAGTTTTTTATCTGAGCAATACAACCTTATGGAAGAAGCTGAAGATCTTGAAATATAGGGATACTGTAATGTGGTAGAGTAAGCATGTCCCAACCAATAGAATAACAACTTAGAAGATTACTTCATGAAACATCTTCGTAG